GAATATAACCCATAATGTGGCTGGTGCTGACTGGCTGGCTGAGTGTGAAGGATGAGTATATCCCATTATTTACAGTGCCCTGTCCACTTCTCCTTTTGTGTTCCCTAAGGCAGGTGCAAGCTGCCAAGCTGCAGGTAATCCACAGCTGCCCAGGTCACACTCCTCCACCCTCTCCTTGTGCCCACCCTGCCTCTCACAAGTCTTTGCTCAGGGACGTCCTACCTTTCTTTTGTCTTTGAATATTTTTCCAGTTGTGATAGTCTGTTCACTGCAAGAGTTGAAATTTTGTAATTTAAGTAAAAAAATTAATTTGTGTTATCCCTAATGTTGTGTTGATGCCAGATGTAAGAAATACATACATGTCAGTAATGACCTGAATTTAGCATTTTGTTGTATTTTAAGACCTCTTTTAGATACTGGTATATTAAAGAAAGACTTTAGTGTAGTCACTAAACTCATCTTCTTTCTCAGAGAAAGTCAGCCAGGTTTTGTGACTTGTAAAATGGTCCTGTGGTTCCTGCCTGTCTCATCTCACACTAGCTTTCCCCTGCAGAAAGGTGCTTGGAAGACCATGAGATTGTGGTCCAGGTGGAGGGCACCATGGGAAGTGAAAGTAAATTTTTATTCAGGAAGAATTATGCGAAATATGAGTTTTTCAAGAATCCTATGGTGAGTCTTCTCTTTGGGGGGTTGGAGTGGGACTCTGGAAATTTTTGAATTTATACTTGGGTTGAATAGTATCTGCTTATCAACCCAATCTTAGCTAAACATCGTTGAGACTGGTAAAGGAGGCCACAGTGGAAAGGATGTTTAGTCAAGGAAGAGAGGAAAACCTGGGATCTTTCAGTTAACTGAAAGCACACAGTTAAATTGGAATAAATGGGTCAAATATTCAACAGGAGAAATACTCATTATTCTTTGCAAATAGCAGCTCTTATCACAATTACATGTTGAAGAATGAACACTAGTCAGTGATAGGCATGCCGACATCAACTCCCTGACTTTCCGTTTCTGCTTTGGAGAAGTTGCTTGTCCTGTGACATAGAAGGAAAGGGGGTGTCATTGTCGTGACTTCCAGCATCTGCTCTTGTCCTGAATCATGGGGCAGACAAGCAGGCAGCTCTGATAATTTCACAGGAGTTTGATAGGTTCCAAGTAATGCAGCACAGCAGGTCTCTCACCTTGTTGAGTATTTCTTTTTTGATTATGTTTTCTTACTGGGTTAGATGAGCCAGGCAAGCGTGCTGAGCTGCATTCCCAGCCCAGGAATACTTCATCTCACGTGATGCATCTTCACCAGATTGTGACCCTGTCAGCCCTTTTTCATGGCACATGCCATGAGACTTGAGTTCTGCTTTAAATGTAGTTGATATTCTAAGCTTGAGTCTACCACATAAGGAAACTGAGTACAGCCTTTTGAAGTAGGATTGATAAAAGAATAAAAAGGACTATTATTTAAATACAAATATTCGTGATCATGCATATAGAACTTTTCAGTATTGACATAGAAATATGCTTTTTTTCCACTTTAATGCCAATCTATAACATGCTGGTTTTTCCCTATCCCTTAGAACTTCTTCCCAGAGCAGATGGTTACTTGGTGCCACCAGTCCAACGGCAGTCAGAGCCAGCTTCTGCAGGTACTGTACAAAAATAGAATTCTTGCTGAGATCAGTTTCTGGATAAAAGTCCTCTTAGAACTGTTACAGTGGCCTTATAATATGTCCTTAATCACATTAACCCTGGCTGCATGTTTAGAGTAACTAGAAATACATGTGCATGTGGGAAATCAAAGTAAAACAGTGCTTATGTGATGAACTGGACATGGAAGCAGTCTAGTAATGCCATTGCCGGGTGTGGCTGGGAGGGCAAGAGGATAATGCCCAAGTCTCACTCTGAGCATAGGTCCCCCAGGACAGGACACTAGCCAACTGCTTGGAAATATCTACAGACATACTGAGCTTTCATCATAGTCAAAAGTGGCTGAGTAGCCATAGAGTCCTTTTTAAAGTACTTATTGTACATTAAGAATAAGGAAACCTACTTATTCTTGCTAAAACCAGTCCCAAGAAAGCCTGCCCACCAGGGCCTCTGGGCATCATACAGAGCCATATTCTGCTTAAGGCTGGAAAATGGTGTCATTGCTACCCCAAAGCATGTGTCTGAGTGCAGTGTGCCAGGTGAGAAAAGTCTAGTCTCTAAGGAAAGCAACCACGTCTAGTGGTAACACACAAGACTAAATCCAGTTCCTTCCACATCTTGCCCACAGGCCCTTCTTTCCTACTTGTTGATGACCAGGTCTCTTCCCACCATCTGAAAGGGAAGGCTCGATTGTCACTGTCCATACACAAAGTCAGTGAAATACACATTTCTCTTCAAGTACTTTGACTAGTAGAGGATTTGTGTGCTATGTGAGGGTGTGATCCCTTGAGATGCTAAGAGGATTGGACCCCAGTGCCCAAGAGCTGCCTGCTGGTGAGGTCTGCTCACCATCTAGGGCAGAACACCCACTAATGTCACTTCCCCAGCTCTGCTTGTGACATGGTTCACAGCTTCCCTTTTCCATAAAAGTGTGGGCTAGCTGGGTTGCTTACTTGCTTGGCTCCTTTTAGAAAAGAACCTTTACTTCTAAGGCTGCCTGTAAAGGGAGTTAGCTAGGGCAGTGAGCTGTCACCATGGTGTCCCAGGCACTTGATATGCAGACAGACACCTTTTACATCTCTACTTTGGAAGTGTTCACAGTAGGCCGGGTACCCTGCTTTTTATTCCCAGGTGCCCCTAGTCAGTTGCTCTTGGCACTTGTTGCTGTGGACCTTAACTCTGGTGACCAGATGAGATATTTATTGGAGATTTTGAATTAGGCACAAGATCCTTAATGTTCTCTTATGAGTAATGTTGTGGCATGTCTGCACCACTGTTAGGGTCATTTGCTCATCTCTGCTTCAATACTAAATGTGTTTTGTACATGACCGATTTTGATGGAATTTTAAGACATTTGAAAGAAGAAAATTCTGCCTGATCCCAAAAAAGCGTTTTAACCCTTCAGGAAATGTCAGCTGTATGTAATAACATAACTGCGTTAGTCATATGAACATTACCTGATTTCTAAAATGTTCTCCTCCTTAGAATTTTCTGAACTCCAGCAGCTGTCCTGAGATTCAAGGGTTTCTGCATGTGAAGGAGCTAGGGAGAAAGTCTTGGAAGAAGCTGTATGTGTGTCTGCGCAGATCTGGCCTGTACTACTCCACAAAGGGAACTTCAAAGGTAGGTTTTAAACCTCCACTTTCAGCACTGATTATACCCCCATTAATTCATTAATTAGCAACTTGTATAACAGCTAAACTCAGTGGTACCAGTGTACTGGTGATACACTTTAGAAGCTGGGTGGTGGTACACAGCTAGGAATCTCCACATCACATCAGTCCTGTATCCCTGGGATGCCCAGTCTAGTTCCCTACTGTGAGCTGAGTGCCAACTCTCTGAGCTGCTTCAGTCATTGCGTGTACATTCTTGGTTTTAATAATTTGGAATTTGGATCCCAGCTGGTCATGGGATGGCTACTGGATTATTGTCTTGTATCAGTAGCTCTATTATAACACACAGCTGACACATTTAGCTTGTGTTATTATGGGAATTCTATGTAGTCATTCACAGGTTCATGTGTGTACCTAGTGGGGAGAGCTAAAAGATGCAAAGTAGCTCCACACCTCAAAAGTAAGCTGCGCATACTGTGACCTCACCCAATATCTCTTGTGCACTCCTGGCACACTTGGGCATATTCTTTACTTGTGGCTCTGTCCAGCCACATATATGCAGTGAGCTCTGTCCAGCCCACCTTGGCCAGGCCCTTATCTTTGAATAACTGTGGTCTCCTCTTTTGCTTGTATCAGGAAGTAGGGGAGCTAGTGGGCCCTCCAGCAAGGGTCCTAAGCGCCAGGCCAACCTAGTGCAGCTTTGGGTTGTCAACAACTAGCTGGTGGAGTTGTAAGCTAAGAGAAAGGACATCATCTTCAGCGAGGGGCCTGACCTGCTTCAGGGCCAGAAAGGGGAACTCCAGGCTCCTATTCTCATACCCAGATCTGCTAAGGCCCCAATAGCTCTCATTGGGCTCAAGCAGGCAACAGGGCTTAGGTGGAGTACTCAGGACGAGGTGGAACATGCTGTCAGTGGAGAAGTGCAGGTAGCAGAGGGCTGCAAGCATAGAGTATCCAGAAGTGGGGAGGAGCACTCTTAACAGAGACTTCAGACTAATAGACTCTGCCCTGGATTTTTTTTTTGTGATAATCTGGTCATAGGGCTTTGACTCAGCACTTGATATCTGAGAATTTGAGAAGTGGGGTTTTGGGGTAGTGCTGGGTGGATTTGGCTTTGATTCAGTACTTTTTTCACACTGTAGTTATGACCTCTAAAGTGCCAGAGAGGAAGTGCATGGGGGTGTACCCAGACTGTCCCTGTGATTGTGCACAAAGGCATGTTCTAGGCTGCACTGGCAAATGTGACCCCATACTTCACCTGGCTTCTATCCTACAGGAACCCAGACACCTGCAGCTACTGGCTGACTTGGAGGAAAGTAACATCTTCTCCCTGATCGCCGGGAAGAAGCAGTACAATGCACCCACCGACCATGGGCTGTGCATCAAGGTACCCCAGGACGCTGCTCGTGGGCTGGGGCTGGGAGCTACAGCCCAGGCATGTTCTCTCACCCAGTACTTGCTTATGGGTCCTTTTGTGTTGAAACCATTTCACACTGGCCTTACTGTGTGCTTATGATATAGTGGTCCTTGAGTAGCCCAAGTGCTCATGGAAAGATAGGTAATGCCAGTAGTGAACTCAGTGGCTTAAGGCCAGGCAGCTGTTGACTTCTGGGCTAGACTGCAGCTATTGCCTGGTAACAGTAAGGGGAGGAAAAAACTGGTTAAAGGAGGGGACCTGACCCCTAATAGTTTCTAGTGACTGAATGAATTGGCACTATCTGTGAGGGCCTCTGGTCATGAGGACACTTAGGACTGTCTACAGCGCTGTGTACCTTCTTTGCATGTGTATATAAGGATGTACAGTTATATGCACACACAGATAATGTGTGTGAGAGCATATGCACATGGATGTATTTGTGTACACAGCTGTACATGTCCATGCCTACTTGTGGGCACACAAAGCCATGTTCTCCCCATGGTGAATTTGTGGCAGGATTGATAAGCACAGCAGTAGCTGTCTTCCGAACACTTACTGTGCACAACTGTCTAACGATTTAATACCACTATCGTATTTAATCTTCATGGAGGCTTTTGAGGTGGGAACTAAGTCGGCCTCCTTGCCTGTGTCAAAGGAGCCAGTGAGTAGTTGTGTTCGGAGCTCATGCTGGTATGCTGGCTCATCAGCCAAAGCCCCTGTCCCATCCTGAGGGGAACCCAGAGCCCTTCCTTGGCCTGCAACAGAGAAAATTCCATCCTACAGTAGCTTCTTACATCTGGCTCACTGAATCCTCTTTTGGTCACAAGCACAGTAGCAGTTCTTAGCCTCAGTTTTATTTCAGTGGTTTCAGTTACCCATAGTCAACTGCGCTCTAAAAATACTAGATGGAAAATTCCAAAAATAATCAGTTTATTAGCTTTAAATTGAATGATGTTCTGAGTACTGTTATGAAACCTCACACTGCCCTTCTCTACCTTGCCTGGGTCATGAATCTTGCCTTTGTCCAGGGTATCCACTCTGTGTACCCTACAGGCCCATTAGTCACTTAGTAGTCATCTTTGTTACCAGAGTGAGCACTGTGGTGTTACAGTGATTCAACTAAGACAGTGTAAGCTCTGAAACTCATAAGGAAAGAAAAAAAAAATCCTATACTAAGGTTGCTAAGATGGATGTTAATAATGAATCTTGTATCTGAAAAATTTAAAAACAAAATGTGTCTGTCCTACCTCACCACACTGTAAATCTGATTGGTGATTGGTAAGTACTTGCTTATAGGGCTATTTATACTGCCTATGGTTTTAGGCATCCACTGGGGATTAAGAGGAGACTCCTGTAACTGGGAAGGCTGGAGGTGGAGCTGGGCAGCCAGTACCCATTCTTTCTCTCCAGCCCACACTTCTTCCAAAGTGCCTGGTGGCCCCTCACCCCTCCAGCCAAGTCTTTGCTTCTCCACCAGCACTGTTTTTGAGTTGGAGTAGAGGGTTCACATGGAAGCCCTGGGTCAGGTACCCCTGTGACAGCCTCCTCACTTGCCACGTGGTCCTCTACCTCTGCTAGGTACATCTGTCTGTTCTCCATGGCTACAGGAACTGTGACCTGCCCCGACATCCCTTGTGTCCTCAGCAACACCTCAGCCCCCTTCTCAGTGCTGTCATTGGTCTAGATTTGTAGCCGGCCTTGAAGCCACCTGACCCTCCAGACCCTCCAGGAGCCTCAGAGGCTCTCCCTTCTGCCAGCTAGCCCCTGCCCCCAGGGCCCCTTACCCTGGGGCTGTCTCAGGTGACTTTTTGAAGGTCTTTCTGTAACCAGGAGGCAGCTGTCCTCATGAATGCCAGTGTTCCCACCACAGCACTAGACCGCTTCCTCTGTGCTGTGTGCTTACCATGTTTAGCCCTTGTGAGGATTGGTTTTACTGTGTGTGGCTCCTCTGAAATCCCTAATCAGAGGGAGTCTTTTTCAGCTAAGGGATAAGAACTGAAGCTAGGTTGGAATTAGTCTATGGCTAGTCCTTAGTACAGACTTGTCAAGCATGTAGGTGGACAAACTCTACAAGGGACAAATGTACCGCTTGCTTTGCTCTCTGCTTGGGTGCCATCCTACCGACTACCTTGGTTTGAGGGAAGTGCAGCCCTCTCTAACATTTGGTGTGTGTGTGTATTTACTCACGATTGCCTGATGAGATTGTCTTTTCTCCTGTAGCCAAACAAAGTGAGAAATGAGGCTAAGGAGCTGCGCCTGCTCTGCGCTGAGGACGAACAAAGCCGAGCATGCTGGATGACTGCGTTCAGACTCCTCAAGGTACATATCTGGAGGCTGCGGTGGCCACTTCTCAACTGGATGTGGCTCTGTCTTGGCACGAACACATCACGATGTTTCCACTGTTCAGTCAGAACTGATTAATCAATTGTAGACGTACATCCTTCTAGATAAGATCTCAGGAATGTTCAGGTTGGATATAGGGGAGCCCTGTACATTATAGGACATTTAGCAGCATCACTGGTCTTTTTCTAAAAGCTGTCCAACCAGTGAAGACATCTAAAAGTGCCTCTAGAATTACACATGTCCCCTGAGCATCAAAGGGTGAGGAATTTCCCCAGCAGTAGACTACTCTCATTTCTAAGACTATCGTTAGGATGCCAGCCAGCCATGAGAGAAATACTCTGTAGGTATTAAAATAATGAGATTTCCAAGTGTGATACACATGACTAGAATCCCAGCAATTGGAGGTGAAGACAGGAAGATTATGAGTTCAAGGCCAGCTTGAACTACATAAAGAGACCCTTTCTCCAAGAGAGAAAGCGAGCACACATGCACACATGAGAGAGAGAGGGAGAGGGAGAGGGAGAGAGAAATTGATATCTGTTCTGTGCTAGAAAAACTGTTAATTATAAAACAGTATATAACAGTATTAGAATGTCCTATATTTTTGTGGGGGAGCAGCAGACAAAATCAAAGTCTGTATTTGACTTTGTTATGCAAGGAAAAGAAAGGTTACTAGGAAACAAATAAGTGCCAGTTTGGACAGAGGCCACAGACAAACCTTTAGACTTCTGTATGTTTGGGGTGTGTGTGTGTGTGTGTGTGTGTGTGTGTGTGTGTGTGTACACAAATGAACAGTTTATTTTTTAAAAGGAAATGGAAAAATGGTAGTATGCCCTGTAAAATGATACATTTTATTAGGCAGGGTGGTCCATTGTAAATCCAGCTAGCAGGTTCCAGTTCTTAGCCACTGTACCATGAGTGAAAACCGTAACCTGATTCATCACGGGAACTGACGGTGACACTGATTTGCTTTGTCCTTAGTGCAGATCCTGAGATGCTGCATAGTATTAATGCTAACATGACAACACGCCTGTTGTGAACATTTGTCCTCTACACCCAAACTCCATCTTCCCTCCTAGCAGCTTTGTGCCCATGTATCCTGATCTCTCTTTCACAGGTGACAACTGAGGCTGCAGGTGTGGCCGCTGGATTGCGGCAGAGGCAGGTTGAGAGGGGTATTCAGGCTCCTGAGCTCACTTCCTAAGTACTGTGCTTTTCTGTGCTCCCTGAGAGCCCTGGCAATTGCATGTTCACTTACTGTTTTATTTTGTTATGTTGTTCTGTTATGTTTTGATACAGGGTCTCTATGTGGCCTGTGCTGGCCTCAAACTTGAGATCCCCCTGCCTCAGCCTCTCAAGTGCTCGGAACAGAATTCTAGTGTCCCAGCCACTTTGCGGGTGTCATATGATCCAGTGATGCACAGATTCCACAGGTTTCAGGAAACGTCTTGAAGCATGGCTCTTACAGAAGGCTGGGCCACACCCAGGCTAGTCTTCAGAGAAGCCAGTCTCCAGGGAGCTTACAGTAGAATTTTTCTGTCTCAGTCCTAACTCCTTGTACCCCAGAGTCATTGGTCATTCCCAAGCAGGCTCTGAGAGATGTATATATAGCTCTGTCATTCCTTACCATACGTTACCATGTTTCTTTCCACTTTGCTCTCCCTCAATTGAAGACAGGGATTTCTGGGCCCTCAGAAAATTGTAGAGGCTCACAGAATGCCAGTTTACACTTGTGTCTCTGGCTTTGTATGTGTGTGTCCATACATCCATCAGTCTGTGCATCTGTCTGTCTGTCCGTCGGTCTATCTTTTGCAGAACTAGGGATTGAGCCCATGCTAGGCAAGCACTATACCACTGAGCTATATCCCAGCCCTCTTAAACTCACTCTGTAACCGAAGCAGGCCTTGAATTTGTGATCCTCCTGCCTCAGCTTCCCCTCAGCTAGAATTACATACCCGTATCAGCAAGCGCATCCACCCTCTCCCTTCTTGGTGCCACACTTCCTGGTGGCTGCTGCGTGTCATGGAAATGCCAACGTCTCCCTTGGTCCACTGGAGAAAATCACTAAGTGAGGATTTTCGACAACAGATTGCAGGCTCCCCTTGGGCCTGCACAGTATCCCAGCAGCACAGATAAAATATCAAGTTGTGTCTTCTCATGCTAAACATGAAGGTTTTGGTCTGTAGTGTGTAACAAGAGGTTCTTGACTCGCTCAGACACTTCTCTCTGCTAAAAGCAGATCTGTGTCATCTGGAGGTAGCAAGAACACATGGAAAGTTCCTTGTTTTATTACATGTATGAACATGGACACCCTAGAATCCTGAGTCTTCATGAAGAGTCACCTTCTACCGTCTCTAAGACTGTCATATTACTGTTTCTGGTTAGTGGACATGGTGCCAGAAGAGTTGAAGTGGAAATTTACATCACCCTACAACCATAGGGCTTTGGGGAAGGAAAACCTTGTTTTAAAAATTAATGAAGGACTGTCTTAACATTTTAAGTGCTTGCCCAGGTTTTTTTCCTTTAAAAAAGTGAAAAAGCCTAATGGCTTAGGCCCATGTATAAGAAACCTAGTACTGCTGTAGTCAGCGATACAGACTTCCTGAGTTTAGCACGTGGATTTTGTTCTTTACCCCTGCCTATTATATTGTTGAGTCATTTCTTAGACGCACTTGGGGCTGTGCCAGAAGTATTAGCACCTATTTCTCCTGTTCTCACCCCTTTTCTAAAAGTTTCTGAAACTGACATAGAATTCCACCACCACCACCACCACCACCACCACCACCACCCCACGCCCGTAAAAGGAGGTCTTGCTGCGTCTGCACAAGAGCCTGCCATTGTGGTTGCTTTGGTTTTAGATTACCCCACCCAGAAAAGGCAGTTAGGTTCATGTTCCACAAGACAGCAGACCACCCAGACGCCCAGGGAGCAGCCTCTACAAGAGCCCTGAGATGGTAGTGAAAGCCTGTGGCAAACAAAGGAAGCTCAGTGTGGCTGTGAAGCGGCATGTGGGGAGCAGTGTCATCTCAGCAACCTGAAGACTGAGCAGAACACAGACACATGGCTCACTCTGCAAAGTGCCTGTTCAGTACATGCTCCATGTCAAGTCCCAGGCCTCCAGATGCTGAGGTGTAAAGAGGGCAAGGGTCCGGTGGAGCCCAAGTGTGCCCAAGATGGCAATCACAGGATGACTTGGGTGGCTCATGTGTTTTCATGTGCACACACACTCCCACTCACATGCATACCTTTAATGCCCAGACTTAGACTGAGGTTCCACACAGAAAATCCTGTTGAACAAGTGAGTCACTGAAAGGAATTGATCTCCAGTTCATGGCAAAAATGAAACAGGCAAGGCCAGTTTGAAAAGTTTGACCTGAAGCCAGTTGTGTTTGTGATGATGATGTATTTACCTTTTTAATCCTTCAGTCTGAGATTGTGGCCATCTTACCTGTTGTAGTTAAAATACTCTTTGTTTTATAAAATATTGTGGATACCAAGTAGAAGCTTTGAGTTAATTTTTGTGTCTCTGTTAATTATCCAACTTGGCAAATCAGTTGACAAACCTTAAGGCAGTTGGCGCTTTTTTTTTTTTCCTTTCTCCCTTTCTCTCCAAAATTTGTCAAATCTGAAATGGAAGCATTGTGGATTTAGGACTTTTCCTTGTACTCTTTCCCTGTGAGGTAATCTTTCAAATCTAGTGATTCTCAAAGATTTTCATAGCAGAATTCTTTTCCCTTTCAAGGCAAAATCTATAACTGCCCAATAGGACAAACAGAAAAGACATGCTCAAACAATGTGGTATATTAGATTATTACAAATTAGCAAACAAAAATCCCCCAATTTCAGTGGCTTGTGACAGCAAAGACTTGCTCCCACCCTTGGCTTGCTGGAACTTGTCAGGCAAAGCAGCCACCACATGGATTGTTGCCAGCCCCCCATGATACAAAAGGACAAGAGTACGGTCTCACATGCCCAGCTAGATGCTGGAGCCTATAAATGTCCTATGTCACATATGAACCAGGGACATGGGCCCATTAAACCACAGGGCTCCCAGAAGGCTGAGCCCACTTGGGCTTAATGGATTCCTTTTCATTAAATCTATCCTAAGCAGGAAGTGCTTCCCACATGCTTCTGGCTCACCCATGCTAGAAAGCACCTCCTAAATTTGTCTTATAGTCCTGAAGTGGAGCTGCATTCCCTAAAGCATTCTTTGACCATGATTCTAAGCCTTTGGGTTATCTTTGCATAAAGAAATAAACTTACCTACCTATTACTTAAACACTAATATCAGACAGGCCATTCTGATTACTCAAGAGGTTACCTCTCAGGAGCTAGAGCAGGCTCAACTCATTACTTGCACTTCTCCATTTACTTACACATTCACTCACACACACACACAGAGACAGACAGACAGACAGACAGACAGACAGATGTTTGTGGTTGGGGAGATGGCTCAGTTCATGAAGTCCTTGTCATGAGTTCAAAGCCCTAGCATATCGGTAACAGCCAAGCATGGCAGCACACATCTGCAACCCCAGTTCTGGGGAAACAGAGAAAGGAGGATCCCTAGAGTTCATAGGCCAACCAGTTTAACCAATGGGTTAGTGGGAGGCCCTGTTTCAAAAAATGACTGATAGCCAGATGTGGTGGCACATGACTTTAATCTCTCTGTGAGATCAAGGCCGGCCTGGTCTACAAAGCCAGCTGGGGCTACAAGTAAAGACCCTATCTCAAAAGTTAAACAAAAAAAAGGACTAATGAAGACACTTAGCAACAACTTCTGGCTTCCTCACACACACACACACATGAGCACATACCACATATGAACACACATTTGTGTGTATATAGGCAACCTTTCCTATCCTCAGGTTTCATATCCTCAGAATCAACCAACTACAGATAGAAAAGATTCTTTTAAAAAGCTATATTTGAGGGTTAGGGAAGTGGGTCCTTGGGTACTGTCAATACAAGTATGAGAACTTAAGTTTGGTTGCCCAGCATTCACATAAAAAGCTGGGCTGGGCATGGCAGCATGCACCTGTTAACCACAGCACGAGGAAGAGGGCAGATCCAGCAGCTTGCTGGGCAGCCAACCTAGCCAAAATGGCAGGCTCCAGGTTCAGTGAAAGACTTTGAAAAACTAAGGCCGAAAGTGACAGAGGAAGACACCTAAACCCATCTCTGGCTTCCACATGTGCACACATAAATATGTACAGACATTTTCTTATCATTCTTTAAACAATACAGTATAAGAACTTTTCCCAGCATTTACAAAGTAGATATTCTGAGTAACCTAGAGATGATTTAAAGTACACAGGAAGATGTACATAGATTCTATGCACATACTGTCAGTTTTAGTGTTTGCATGGAGTCCTGGAACCAATTCCCTCCACAGCTACTGAGGAAGACTTGTATACAGACAAATAAATGCTAATGTGTGAACAGTTTAAGTGTATGCATTAGCAAGTCCTCAGAAGTTTGGCATATTTAGCATATTTATAGCTAACTGGTTTAGCAGTCTGTGTCATGGTGAAATTTGCTTCATTGTCTCCAGTGATGTTTCTTGCCCTAAAGTCTTATTTGTCTAATGTTAGTGTCACTACCTCTGTTTGTTTAATTAATGTTTGCATAGTTTTTCTTTTATATCAAGTATTTTCATTTCTGTTTTCCCTGTTGGCCCATTTCTTATACATTCATTTACTATTTTCTGGTGGTTCCCCTAGCACCACAGCATGCATCTTTGTAACTTATTAAAATGCTGTGTGATTTAATCCTTTCACCACATTCAAGCTGACATAAAGGTTTACTCCATTTCCCTCACCACTCATTTAAATGTTCCTGTGAATAATCATTCTCTCTGCATTGAGGCCCCTGAAGACATGTTGCTGCTGCTGTTTCGTAGCCTGTTTTTATTTTCCTCACCCACATATTTGCACTTTAATTTTTCTTGAAAGTGCATTCTTCTCTGTGGAGAACTCGGCTTAGCGGCCCCTTCAGTGTAGACCTGTCTCTGTCGTAGTCAGGCCTTTGCTATGGAGGAGCTTCTTACTAGTTCTGGCAGTTATTTCTTCTCTGCCTGCTCACCACTCCCTTCTCTTTTGAGTCTCTATCATTTACAATAAAAAATGTCAGCTAGTGCCTTTGTTGAAATAATGTTTTTGTTTTCTTTTAACATTTTCTCTTTGCTTTTGTTTTGTTTTTAGCATTTTTTAGTGATGTCTCTGAGTTTAGACATGTATTCTTGAATCTGTAGTTTGGTGTCTTCTCAACTGTTGGAAGTTTCATGATTTTTACTACAGATATTTGTCCTGACCTGTCCTCTCTCTTCTCCTCTCACAGGAGTACAATTATACCATGACAGCCGATTTTGTCATGTTGTACATGTTTACACTTTAGAAAAGAGTGTGTGCTTTAGGACCAAGAGCTACATACAACAGAGCTTGCATCCCATGAAGCAAGGTCAAGAGAACGATGCATCCCCCTGATAACTTTATTTCTTCTTCCTGGCTATTTTTTTTTTAAGTCTTCAAAGTTGGTGTTTTGAATGACTAGTTGGGGAGTGTTGTTTGGGTCGTTCAATGCATAGGAGACTCTGTCCTATGGAGACTGGCTTTGGAACTGACTATGAACATTCTCCTTGCCATGGCCTTGGATCATTTGCTTCATTTCTCTGTGTTTCAGTTCCATTATCTGTAAAGTGGGGCTAATGGTAGGGCATAGCTTATAAAAACGGAGAGGATCAAATGAAACAAACCACTTAGTACAGTACTTGACCCATACAGAACTCAATAAAGGTAATTCTTGATCTTACCTTTATGATACGTGTTGCTCCCCTCCCCAACATTCCCAGGGCAGTCAGCATCCCTCTCCTCCGGGATAAGAGGAATTCTGAGGCAGAACTGACAGACATACGCCACGCTGAATGTGCTAGGCCCCTGGGGGCCTTTGGCTGGGTATTGTTAGCTCTTCAGTGTCAACATTGCCCTCCCAGCTGTGGGGTTTACTCTGGGCTGGGGCCATGGGAGCTCTTGGGTACTGGCACTGACTCTGGCCTTTCCCCTTCAGTATGGAATGCTTCTGTACCAGAACTATCGCATCCCTCAGCAGAGGAAGGCCTTGCTGTCTCCCTTCTCTACCCCTGTGGTAAGTAGACTCAGGACTCACCACAGTCAAGGGCCTTTTCAGCCACCACATCACCATGTGCTATGTGCACTTTGTTTCAGCATACCCCACATGGGCCATTTTCCAGGAGAGTGTTTTGTGGTCTCTGCAGTATGACTCCAGGAAGACAGGCCCCCTCCCCATCCTGCCTCTGCCCGGGACTACATGAAGGGCTTTACCTCCAACTCTTCAGGAGCCCTTTTTCTTATCTTTGGCTTTGTTCCTTTAAGCCATTAGACCCATGGAGATTGTTGCCCTTCATGCTGTAGTCATTTCCTGGAGAGAGTATTGAGAGAGTAATGATCCCTAGTATGTTTTATGTGTGCACTCTGTTTCCCAGAGGTGCAGAAGTATGTCATCCTCTCAAAATACGACCTTAAAAGCATTCAGTGCCTGTTCCCATAGAAGAAAACAATGCCACAAAACAGCCTGCTGTTTGCTTCCCCAAAGTCTACAGTGAGGATAAAGCTCAGGCCCTTACCGTTCCCATTTCCTGACTGTGTTTAAACACAGGTTAGAACAGCAGTAAAGGGCCACACAGTACAAATGCTACTGGCCAGGGGTCCTCCCCTGCAGCCTTAAGTCCTGTGAGAAATTTGAAACCTTTCTTTCATTCTTCCTCCCTCAGCCTCCCCTCCTCCCTCCCCCCTCCTTTATCTCTTAATTTCTTTCTTTCTTTTTCTTCCTTTCTTTCACAAAACCTCAAGCCATTTTTATTTCAGTTCCCCTCTAATCATTTAATTTTCAAGCTGAACTCGGGAACTGGGCTCTGTTAGTGCCCCTCCTGGTGTCTTTATGACGCATTCATGCCAGGATCACCAGCATGCTGCAGTGGCTGATTTTCCTGCATTTTGGAACTTGTGGTCTTTCATTTGCAGCGCAGTGTCTCTGAGAACTCTCTGGTTGCAATGGATTTTTCTGGACAAACCGGAAGAGTGATCGACAATCCGGCTGAAGCCCAGAGTGCTGCCCTAGAAGAGGGCCATGCTTGGCGGGTAAGGCACTAACTAAATCTGGTTGAAACTGATTACACAAAGACACCCAGCTTTTCGTCGGAGAATGTCTCTATGGGTGTTGGTGGGATCAAGGCATCATAGTAACTGCAGGAAACAGTCTTCCCTGAGCCCTGCATACTGTCAGCCAGCAGACACTCCACCCCCTCCACCACCCCCATCACCCCACCCCCACCCGCTGACTCTTCGGAAGGGGCAGAAGGGGGAAGCAGAGCTCTCTGTCCTCTTTGACTGTTGGGTAGAGCTATTCTTGCTGATAGATTGTTATTGGCTGTCTGTCGAGGGCATGGGGCCAGGACTGAATGGAACTCACAGATGTTCGCATCGGACTCCCCAGGGGACAGTTGTCTCACCAGGCTCAAGTCCAGACTCTGCAGATGGGAAGACTACCTCCCATCTCAGGTTTTCCTGAAATTTAAACACCATATGCAGAACACCAGCTTAGGGCTGTGCTTGGAAGACAGCCCCAGTCCTTAAGCTGTGGTGTGGGAAAAAGCAAAAGTCTGCAGCACAGGGATTCTGGAGAGCAGTGTTCTGAGACCTGAGTTTAATCTAATAGCCTGTGCGTCTCGGCTGAGATTCTCAGGATTTTCACTGTAGGTCTTTTGGGTGAGAAACATTTTGCTTTTTTAGTGCTGGGTTGGCTAGAAATACACCAGGAAGTATTCGCTTTTGTTTTTTGCCACCGTGGCTAATGAGCTCTTTATTTTCAACTGTCAGGCGGTAGCATCGGGGTTAAAATTCTTGGGACACTGCCCAGCCACCCTATCCTGAGGCTGGGCAGTGGGTCATTTCGTGTGTAAGTCTGTCATCTTTGATACTAAGGTGGGCATTTCTTTTGCAGAAGCGAAGCACAAGGATGAATATCCTGAGTAGCCAAAGTCCCCTTCACCCTTCCACCCTGAATTCAGGTAAGTGTGGCAAGTTGCTCATATTGTTGTATAAAAATAATAGCCCTGCCCTCCATATCTCCCTGATTGTTACAGGGGCTCAGGCACAGTGCACCATGCCCCTGCAGCTGAGCTCTGAGTTTTATCAGAGTTGTTCTCTTGGGCTCTTGGGGAAGCTCTGTGCAGAGAAGCCATGTTTTCTTCTCCGCTCTCTCTTCTACCCCGACAGTGATTCACAGGACCCAGCACTGGTTCCATGGCCGTATCTCCAGAGAGGAATCTCACAGGATCATCAAACAGCAAGGTCTCGTGGACGGGTAAGGAAAATCCACGGATAAGAGCTGTGCTCTGTAGAGGTCTCTCTGCGCTAGGCACATGCTCTGCCTCGCTCCTAAAACTGCCTTGCAGAAACCAGCTCAGAGGCAAAATATGCTGGCCTTGCCCAGTTAAGGACAGAAGTGATTCTGACCTATCTTGTCCCGAATATAGAGTTCTTCCCACCTTATTTTCCACCTTTCTTTCCCTCACATCTGTTGTTGGTCGAAACAGGTCACTTTCTAAATGCTTACGCATTTTTGTTATTGTTGTTGTTTGTGGGTTTTGTTTTGTTTTGTTTTTTTCATAAGTTCTTTTGCTTACCTTTTTCCTGGAAAGTGATGTTAGAGGTTTGGGGTGGGGGGCTTGCTTGAGAGCCCTTCAGGGAGAAGACTGTGTGCTCTGCTGCCTCAAGGGAAGCAGTTTGTGGAGCAGCAGCTCTGAACACCGTCTGAGAGTCTCCCCATCCTTATGCCCTCAACCTTTCATTACACCTTCCAAAATTGTTATTTCTGGTCCTGTTACTGCTTTATCATTTACTAGCTGAAGTTCTTTCCCTACTCAGATATTTGATTTCCTGAAAAAGCTTTCTCAGTGTTTACAGTGAGCTGATGTCCTGCCATCTTGCACCAGTGTATCTGTTATGTTAAACTATCAGTCTGAACTTAATGTCTGTGTGTTTGCTTCATCTTCAGTCCAGTGTCTCGCAGCTCTGTGTGCCCCACACGGGCCTTTGGACCCCTTTCCGAAAAATTGACTCCTGTTGTGTGACTTTTCCTGGGGAGTAGTGCACAAACATCTGCTTACGAGAACAGACCAAAGAAATGATTCTACCAAAGTCCAACTTGATCAAAGTTCACCTTGATGAACGAATGAGTTTAGGAGCCCTGACTCTTTCTCGTAGAAAAAGGTGTCTGGAGGCCACAAGCTTTAGGTGGTTTTAGTGAACAAAGCAACAGCATGGGCCAGGCCTTAGCCTGCTAGGCCAGCCGTGTACCATGAGCTACTTCTAAGCCCTGGGCTCTTTGGAAAACAAAAATAATTTAGGAGTTTACATTGATACTACCTATTCAAGTTTGAGAGTACAGGAATTTAGCTTCTTGTTCTCTTTTTTTACTTCTTGGTCATTGAATTACTTATCCCTGTATAAGTGTGTGTATTCATGAAGATTAAATATTTTCAGTGTCTTGGCAATGTAAGTATTGATAGATGACTATTTGATATTGAAGGGCTGGGCCCCCAGCAATGCTTCCTCCCCCACACCCTGTCCTGTATTTTCTCTCTCACTCTTTTTCTTTCTTTAGCTCATTATTATTTTTGTTTTAATTTAGACCCAGATACATTTGGAGTTATTACTTCCAGATATTGTTAAAAGAACAGGTCTCATTTGATTCAGGACAGGTCTCTTTGAAACTATCAAAAATGGTTCCTCTCCTACTATATAAAGCATGTTTCTCTGGTTTCTAAGGTTTATGGCGTCTTAAGGAGAAAAAAAAATCTAACATTTGAAATCTCCCTTTGTATTATTTTTTAAGAATGTGTGTTTATCATCTTGCACCCACTTACACCTCTGAGCCCCATAAGAAGTGGATTTTGGAATGTTCCAGGGGTGTTGCTGTTAACTGTACTGTCTGTGGAATTCATTAAGGATGCCATCATACTGGTCCTTCTATGAGATGATGTCACACTCTGGGGACAGACATTCAGGATCCACAGGATCTGTGCTGTACTCACTGAGTGCCCCTCCCTCCTGCCCCAAGGGTGGTGACAGGGCGTCTCTGGTGAATCTTTGTCTAGAGAAGCAGGCAATCTCAGGTTCAGGGAATATGTGAGGAACATTTGTGTTTGAAAGGAGCTTCAGCAAGACTGTCTCAGGTTCAGGGGATATGTGGGGAGCATTTGTGTTCATAAGTTTCCTGGGTGATTCTGAGGTGAGGCTCACCCTGGCCACCCTAAGGAGCCCACACTGCGGGTTACAACTCAGTCTCATGAACTTTGGGACTGTGGATCAGCTCCCCACCCCCACCCCCACCCAGCAAACTATATAGGCCTGTCTTTCAATTTGCTCTGGAGTATTATCACAGTCAGCAAAGCTTCTAGCCTGTCAGCCTTGTAAGTAGCCCAGGCCTTCACAAACGCTGAGTTCTCTTACACACAAGGAAGTCTGGAGTCTTTGTTACCCACTGACTCCATCTTCATGTCTAGCTCATATCCCACACTGGGAGTGCAGACAGTGGGGCCAAGCCGGGCATGGGCACTGGGACTGCTCAACCCAATTCCAAGGTTGACAGGAAAATGTGTTTGCAAAATAAGGTGAATCAATGTATTTCTAATTTTTTCTGGTCCCTGTAGTGGTAAATGAAGGGGAGCCAATTTAGAGAATGAAACAATGGAAAGAAACTTTGAAAGATAGCAGGAATAGCAGATGCTGGGAAAGTGTTTCCTGTCCCTTTGGCAGATACGTTTGCTCACACACACCAGCCTGCACTAAGCTCCCTGCCTTCCTGCCCACAGCCCTACCCAGAACTTTCTTGAATGACCTTAAGATCAAACGTAACTTTGTCTACCCCTCTGCTAACCCACAGGGCTCCTGCCCCCACACACTGGACCTATGGGTCTTTTGCACTAGCACCACCTCCATATCTCCCCTTCGTCTGCCCTCCATGCCCTTCTGTCTTTTGGAAGGAAATTTCTTTGGCAAGCCTTGAAGCTTTTCTACTCCCAGAGGGTGAGGTGCTGTGCCTGGAATTCCTGCAGTATCCCTGTACAAGAAGGTTTCTATAGCTCTTCTGTTTTTCACACTGAACCAGGGGCTTCTCCCAGTATGCCTATGTGACCTTGAGGGAAGGCCATTACTTCCCTCATCCTGAAATAGGCCACCAGCATCTCTGTGAAACTAGTAGAATTAATGAGTATTTGAAATAGTTCTATCGAAGCTGTGCCGTTACTAGTTATCAGCAGCAGCTCGCCTGGGCCTCTCAGTCTTCAGTGAGTGGACTCCTGGCTGTATTCACCACACAGTAAGAACTCAGCCTGGCTCCTGCTGCTCTTCCTCCTGAGTCCTGTTCACAGCTATCTAACCTAGACAGCTACTGCATAACAAACCTTACTCCTTACTAGACCTTTTCTCACAATTGTGACTCATTGAAATTGCCTGATCTCTGTAATGTCCAGTTATGGCTGCACTCGAAGCAGCTGTGCAGCTCATGTTACTACTGCACAGTATCTGTGCCTCAACCATGGTCTTCTAAATGGCCATGCACAAAGGGTGTCATCCCCTTTTGCAGATAAAGAATCATGGCTGTGAAGCCAGACAGTGGCAAATCTAGGCTCCCTGCTAACTCAGAAGCCATTATGTTCCTCTGGGTTCACATTCAAGGTCATCCCAGATGGACAGCCTCCAGGAGCTGCTGATAAAACCCAGCCATAGGGTAGCCTCACAGTCACCAGGGGTCAGTCCTATGCTCCAGCTGGGAGGGAACAGCATGATCTGTAGCCTGCCCCTCCCAGCCCAGGGCAAACTTTCACCTTTGCCCTCACCTTTGCCCCCAGCTCCCTATTTGCAGATGGAAACAGCAGGTGGTTAAGTGACTGAGACTAGAATGGTCTTGCCTCTGCTTAGAACAGAAGCTCACTAAGCTGCTGGGTTTCTGCCACATAGTAACCATGTTCTGTCCAGTGCATCTGCTCAACCCTGCAGTGAAGCCTGTTCTAACAGCATCCAAGATATTTTTTCTTTTATTCAAAAAATAATGGGCTTCTTCATGGCATTTTATGCATATATATCATTATACTTTGCTCATATTTGCCCCTGACCTTCTGTGGTTCCTCCCACTCCTACTAGAGCCTTCCTTCCCCCACCAAATAGTTCCCCTTCTATTTCATTGATTTAACGTGTTAGCTAGGGATACAGACATAGATATATTGTTAATTCTAGATTCTGCATCTAAGAGGAACATGTGGCAGATTTTGGGTCCATAACAGGGTTGTTCCTCACAAGCTTGGCCGTACCAAGCCATGAAATGATATTTTCCAAAGTGTGCAAATTCTGAGGAGTACGAGTTCCTGCAAAATACTATGCAGAGCCGGTGATAGAGTTAGGTACTGTGTGGAGCTTTGTGAAGAATCAGGACAGATAGTTGTGTTTTAAAGGAACTAAGAAGTAAATGAATCTGTTTTGCCTTTCAAGCGTGGCTTACTCAGTCCTGTTAACTGCTTTGTTTTAACATCACAGTTCAGCAGCTGGTTAGATACAGCTTAAGACAGTAGTTTGGTCCAATGCCTCAAGCCAATTCCTCTTCATATCATTGACTCTGGGACTCTGAGACATTTTCTTCCTTCTTAATACATGAACTATCTTAGCACACACATCTGGGCCTGGCCATGCATGATTCTGGGTAGGCCTCTCTGGGCTGTTCTCTTTCAGAATTTATTTTGTCACTATTTCAAAGTTGCAAGAAAAATGCAGTGAACTCTGGTATATACTTCACCCAAGACTCCAGTTGTTGGAAGGAAAGCACAGTCACTCTGTCATTTTAATAATTGATTTCCTTTTATTCCTAGTTATTTCTGTGTGGAAGTTCTAAAAATCGGGACTTCTTATATGACTACAGTGGCATTATAAAAATCAGGAAGCTGACACCACTGCCGTTGTTACTCTACACACTTATTTAAGCAGTCCTCATTTCATTCTTTATAACAGATGGAAAAGATTCCGTAATCTTGGATACTCTGTCTTTCCTAACGGATGTCACAGTCAGTTGCTGTTATGAGCAGAAGCCAGTTCTTATGGATTATGTCTGGGTTTGCTCTGGGCCGTGTTCCATGGCTAGTTGGCTCATACATTTTGGGCAGGAACTTGCAGGAAAGGGATGAAGAGCCTCTCTGGCATCTCTGTGGTCCATTTGGCTCATCCCCATGGTGGTGGTCTGAATACTGGATGAAGATGGTCTCTATCTGGTTCCTGTACCATCAAGCTAATGTTTTCCCTTTTATAAAAAGTAAATATTAAGAATAAGACACTTTAAGTGGTAAATATTCCATTTCTTGTGAGACTCTTTTCCACTGGCTTTAGTGCCCATAGAAGGTCTTCTCATTAATCACTTGCTGCTATTGGAACAGCCAGGTGAGGATTTTTCTAGTCTGTCACTCATGTGTGCTCAAATTTTTCTTTGAATATAAGCTTTTTTCCCTCACTTATTAATTTGCTTACTTCTAATGCCTATGTGTTTTTATGGAGTCCTATTATTTCAGGGGTTATAACCCATTGTATCTGTGACTTATTTTGATGCCCAAATTTAGCCATGCTGCCCCATTGATCTTTTTGACATGTCCCTTTCAGTCTTTGAATACTTCTTGACTTTGTAATACAAACATTACAGCTTTATCTTTATAGTATCCCTACCTCAGCCCTGATGTCAGCTCAGCCATATCTTTAAGGGTCCCAGGTTCCTTTCAATGGAGAATGACATTTCTAAACTACCTTCTCGGTGCTAAGTCTGCTGTTGCCACTAAAAGCCACTCAGGTACCAAGCATCAAAGTACTGTGGCTTCAGGTTCATTTTTGTCAGACAGGTCTAGCAGGTGTGTATGTATGTACATGCAAGTATGCATATATGTGCAGTTCATTTGGGAATTTAAAAATAATTAACAACAAATTGTTGGTTTCCCGTCTCCAGGCTTTTCCTTCTCCGTGACAGCCAGAGTAATCCAAAGGCATTTGTGCTCACACTGTGTCACCACCAGAAGATAAAAAATTTCCAGATCTTACCTGTAAGTACTGATGGTTTTCAAACCAGTCCTTCCTTTTCAGTTCTCTGTTTCCATTCCTAATGTACTCTCCAAGTTAAGAAGTAACAAAATTAATTGTAGACAGTAGCAGAGCATTTCCAGTCACAGGTAAGCAGCTTTCAAGGGTCTCCATGTGGGTTTGCACCTGGAATAGGGCTTTTCTGGGATGGTGCTGAAAGTGGTGATGTTACACTGAGGCCTTTCAATTCCTACGTAACTCAACTGCCACCTGACAGGGACAACATAGGTCCAAGGGTGGGAGGCTGTGGAGGGTTAACATCACCAAGGGACATGGTGACCATGAGTATGTGCAGGTAGGAAGGCTGGACTCATACCATGGTTTTGACATTGAAGGAACTGTCCAACTTGAACTGATATGTCTCATGACTTCTCAGAGCTCTAGAGGAACTCACAGATAGTTGAGTGGCTCCTAAGGGCAAATTGGGTTCTCCTTCCACTTAGTCATTGAATCACAAAGCAGTTCTACCTTTGGCCATTTCCAGTTTGTCATTACAGAAAACTTTCATCAACTCCCTGCCTTTTTCTTTCTTTTTACAGTTACTAGACTGTCCAGAATAGTTTAACTCTCCCTGCAATGCACCCAAGTTCAGATTCTTTTTCCACTCAGAGACTCATTCTGCACATGAACAGAGTTAAAGCCCCAAAAGGTCTGGAAGGAACTAGATGCATCTGGTTCACATAATTGAACCTAGGGTTTTCTAAGAGTACTTGATCCCAAGACTGGACTGACTAGAAGCTGCAGGCTAGTAAGGGACACAGTGGACATTGTGGGAAGTATTTGTGAACCAGGGGGAAACAACATGACAGTCCTGCTGGCTCCTGATATTTCCATTTTACAGGCAAGAAAAGTAAGTACTTGCCTGCCCCCATCTAGGTAGAAGGGACAGGAGCTCAGAGTTCTGACTTTACCAGACTTTCTCTTATCCATGTGAACAGGGCATTGTGACTTTCCCACCGTATGTAAGTCAGTGGACTACGATAGATGTGGACGTATAGTTCTTTCTTGAAGACGCTGTGGTGTCCTCTAATCCCATAGAAATAATTACCCAATAGTCCTGGGCCCTGGGCAAGTTGCCTTGCCCATATGATTGTATTAATCCCTTGCAGTGATACAATAGTTGCTTTATAATGGAGTCACATGAACTTTGGCTGTTCAGGAGGTTGACTGAGTCACATGGCAAGAACTGAGTGAGAGTCTAATCTATGGAGTGTTCTATGTATAGTAGGTACCCAAATTGGCTGATAAACTTAGCTTCCTGGGCCTGGTGAGCTAAGAACAGCTTAAAACCCCTATGACCATCTCAGGAAGCTGAGCAGCCAGCCATGCCAGGTGGCCTTTGCCCCTTGTGCAATGTCACACAGTGAAGTAGCAGCACCCAGCACAGATATCTAGCTCCCTGACCTCCCCACCCTCTATGTTTCTTGACCTACCTTGTCAGTCTGAAGTGTGTCCCTCAGGAACAAAGCCATGAACAGGCAAATGTGCTTGGTCACTGCCCAAGAGGACATCCTCTAACAAGGCAAGTGTTTTCTGTGTCTCTGCAGTGCGAGGATGATGGGCAGACATTCTTCACCCTGGATGATGGAAACACCAAGTTCTCTGATCTGATCCAGCTGGTCGATTTCTACCAGCTCAACAAAGGAGTGCTGCCCTGCAAGCTGAAGCACCACTGCATCCGAGTGGCCTTATGACCTCACCGTCTTCTTAGCAGAGGCTGGAAGGAACAACACTGGAATGGAGAAGAGAGGCCTGCATAAGGGTGAGAGCACACACCTTTTCCCACCCAGGGACTCAGAGTAACATGGCTTTATCAGTGCCAACCAACCAAGATCAAATGTTGTTGGACTTCACAAAAATTTGCTGCTGCGGATCAAACAGGATCACCTCCCTCTGCACCAGCCAAATGGGGAGGGAAGAGATCCAGTTCAAATGCGGGAAGGAACTGGAATGACCATCTAGACAAGGCCATGCAGGATGAAAACCGCAGAGAAGTGATTGGAAATGAACTCTCGCCCTGGAATAATCTTGACAATTAAAACTGCGATGTTTACTTTTTTGTATTGATCACTTTTTTGCACTCCTTCTTCGTTGTCAATGTTGTATTCAGCCTATGGTAGGAGGGGATGTGGCTTTTCAACTTAGATGAGATGGAAAGAGTTTTGAATTGGCAGACTTCAGACTGTAAGTGGGTCCCCAAAGTTTTCCAGAGAGCGTCCTGCCCTCTGTAGGTCACCACAGTGTGGATTTGGCTCCCACATTATAGACACCGTAGCCCTTCCCATTATACTTGAAAAGCTTTTAAAAAAAAAATCAGAGGTGTCAACTGTGGTCGACATCCAGCATGTTGTGTGGACTCAGTCAAGCTACCACAGTCTGGTAATCATTGTTTGTAGTGTAGATGTCTGGTTGTTTTGTTACTAGAGTGTCTCATTTTACACAGTGCAAGAGACCTCATTACTTTGGAAAATTCACTGTTCCCCAGCACAGCATGGCTGAATGACCTCAGCTTTAGACTGATGTCAGGCAGCCTTCTTGGAACGCATTGGTACCCAACATGGATGCCACATAGTCCATCTGGGGTGCCCTGTGCCTCTCATTTTGACAGCCGCCCACTGTTCTAGAATAATTGCTGCCTTTTCCCTCTGCAGTAGCCTCAGTCATTTCAGTTCTCTTGGGGGGGAGGGGGTGGGGAGTAAAGGATCTAAGGATCTAAAGTGAAAATGTCAACTGGTTGGCCTCGTGCTCTGTCACCATGGACTTCTTTGGTGATAAAGATAAGGAAACACTGCAGAGGGCACAACGGGCTAGCTTTAAGGGCCTTTGTTTGATGAGCTCCATGTTTTACTGAAAACCCCATAAGCCAGCTGGGGCAGGGTATGCAGAGGTTCTGCCTCTGCTGGCTTTGGGTGAGAAGTACCTCACAGTGGTTGTGAACATCAGGCAGTTTTTAGCAGCATGACGTTTGCTTCCTCCTCTGAGAAAGGAGTCAGAAGGTGGCTTTAGTTGTTACTGGGTCCCCAGAGCCCCATTGGAGGACCCTTTCCTTGTCCCCTTAGCGAGTTATCAGGCATGAAGGGGGTCATTTCTTTACCCTGACCCCTTTGGTGGACAGGACTCCCTTGAGAAACATACAGTCAACTGTGGTGAACAGAGGCTTCCCTTTCTTCACTACACTTGACCTTTGAACCTGAGCTAGCCCCTAGATTGCCAATCCCGCCCAGAGGAAGTGCTTCCTAAGGAGCCACTTCTGATTGCCCTGCGGTTGATGGCATCGTGGAAGACACGCGTGGAAGACACATCGTGGAAGACATTTTGTGAGGTCAGCTGCAAGCCAGTCCACAGTATCAAAACACTGTAGTAGTTCACAGACCACACTCCCCGTGTTTCCACAACATGTCGATTACACAAATGAAGAATTTTTTTTTTAGTAACATGTTCTTAAGCATAAATGCTAAATTGCATTTCTCTCCCTTTCGCAGCTAGTTAATCTTTCAAAGAATTGACAATGAGATGATTCTCAAATTTGTGCCTGGCAACAGGCTGCTTATCTTTATCTTAGGGACAGATAATGAATGCTTCAGTCTTATCATGTTACTTTTTTCACTTTACTGGTTTAAGGTTAGAACGTTAAAAAAAAAAATTTAAAAATTTTTAAAAATACAAAAAGAAATGCTAGATTTTGGTTTTTTTCTTCTTTTTCTCTATTTCTGTAGACCAGTCCCCACAGTGCATAATCTTGTAATGCTAGATTTTTTTTTCTTTTTTCTTTTTAATCTCGTATTACTGTAGACCAGTCCCCACAGTGCATAGTCTTTCTTGCCTCTCCAGTAGACAGCTAGGATGTGTATTTCATATTTATAAGTATGCGTTTTATTTAAGAGGAAAATATAGGCTTGACTCTGGTTCACAATTTTATATGTAGCTGGTTTGATGTAGTGTTTTGTACTTCTCTAGCCGAAGTGAATTGTTGGAGGCTGCAAACCGCCTTGCGTGTAGCAGACTTCAGTGGCCCCGAGCTCGCCAGCCTTTGCACAGGCAGCTGGGAATTCCACCTGAAACAGCCAAGTCCCTAGGGTAGTGGGCACCCTGCCCCCTAGCCAGAGACTGAAGGACATTTGACTTTTATTTTTGTATTTAATTGACATGAATGTAAAGGGGACAGCTCAGGGTTGTTTGGGAGCCTGTTGACTTTGTAATCTCTGCCTGTGATTTTCTTTTCTAATTGAAAAATCCATGTAGCCACCTGGACTAAGTCAAGAAGGAAAATGCCAAATGCTTTGGATATTAGCGTTTAATAGGTAGGCTATGTTATATTAGGTGTTAGAGTTTCAGAACGTGTTTTTGTTTGCTAAACCTTGAAGAAACATGTGCCTCAGCTTAGATGTTTTGTCTTCTCCTTCCTGCACTTAAATACCTGACAGTCTGTCCGATCACTGCGCCTCTGAGGGCGCAACTAGCTCATCGTAGATTTGTGATGTCATAGTGCAAACTACAGTGACCGGAAAAATGACCTGACTTGTAAACATTTTCAGGGAATGCAGAGGGTGTTAATTAACAGACAAAACCTTTATCCCGCGTGCTTTTTGCTTCATTCTGTGCATAGCTCTTCGGCTCGTGAACCTAATTGTAAACTTTCAGGTATTTTTGTACAAATAAGGGACTGATGTTCTGTTTCTTGTAATTAGAAATAAACATTAATACAGTGTTCTTCATTTTGTGTTGCTTGTGATGTCTGTGTCTGTGTTTAAAAGCTGGGCCTGAGGAGATAGCTCAGTGGGTAAGTGTGCTTGTATGAGACTGCAGAGTTGGCTCAGCAGTTATGAGCACTGGCTGCTCTTGCAGAGGACCCAAGTTTGGTTCCCAGCACCCTCATGTCCCTAGCTCTGGTCGCAGGGTATCCAACACCCTCTTCTTGCCTCTGTGGGCACTACACACACAGGTGCACTTACATTCATACAGGCAAAACACTCATACACATAAAATAAAAAATATTTTTTAAATAAAAAAGGAGTGCTAGCTGGGTGTGGTAGCACATACCTTTAATCCCAGCACTCAGGAGGCAAAGGCAGGTTGATCTCTATGAGTTCAAGGCCAGCCTGGTCTACATAGAGAGTTCTAGGCCAGCTGGAGCTACAAGGAGACCCTGTCTAAAAAAGACCATAATTAATTAATTAAAAGGAGTGCTTGCTGTGAAAGCAAGAGCACCTGAATTCAAATCTCCAGTGCTTATGTGAAGGCCAGATGAAATGTGGGGGCAGCTCACACATACCAGGACAACCTCAGCCAGCCTCTTCCTAGTCCTCATTCCCACAAGAAAGAATCACAAGCCTGGGCTGGAGAGGTGGGTCAGTTGTAAAGTACTTGCCATGCAATTATGAGGATCTAAGTTTGATTCCCAGAACCCACAGAAAAGCCAGACTAGTGGCATACACTTGTAATCTGAATGCTGGGAGGCAGAGATGGGTGGTTCCCTGGGGCTTTCTAGCTAGCCAGCCTAGTCTAATTGGTAAGCTCCAAGCCAGGTAAGAGGCCTTGTCTCACAAAACAAAGTGGATGGCACCTGAGGAATAATGCCTGTGGTTGACGTCTGGCCTCCACATGTTCTTGAGCACACACAGGTGCATGTGCACCTATATACCTAGGAATGTGTGATGCACACAAAGAATCATACTTCACAATGTTTCAGAGAATCAGGTATTCACTAAGGTTTAATGAAGACCTCCAAAAACTCTAAACATTCATGTTTGGTGCATTAAAACGTCAAGGACCTGAATTTTCTAGTCAAATAACACATCTACAATGGAACCTCGACACCTAAGGAACAAGGTTCATGGAACATAGTGGAACAAGGGGTAGAGAGAGTACTAATGCATCTCTCGGTTCTCACCAGCAAAGTATCCTCATGCAACAGAAGGCAATTAACACAGAAAGCCACAACTAGCCAAAATATAAAGAATGAGACTGTAGAGTATATGTCCCTGGATAGGACTCCTATATTAAACCTCATCCACCCAGGGCTTAAAGACCGTTTTGGAAGCAGGGCCGGAAAGATCTTAAGAGCCAGGGGTGATAGATGACCACAGGGAAACTTTTCCAGGCTTCTGGGAACTTTCTTATATGAACTTAGGGCAGTGGTGTGCACAAGACCCATGCGAACTCAAACCAGACAAAACTCCATAGAATTGGGAAAATGGGCAAAAAACCTGAACCTTAGAAGAACGATTGGCAGCTGATCACTACCGGGTGAGGGAGAGTTGGTCTCCTTTAAGGGAGTGATATCAGATAGGCTGAACAGACTCCAGTGGATGAATTTACACCAAAGGACATTTGGGGACACAAACTTTGCTTGAGAGGCCTTAACATATATGAGAAAATGCATGAAATCTGGTTGGGGGGCAGCTATGAGGGTGCAGGTAGGGAAAGGGGTCCAAATATGATTAAAATGTATGAAACACACAAATTCAATAAAAAATATTTATTGGAAAAAGACAAATTGACAAGAGACAGGGCATGGTGGTTCACATCCTTAATCCAGGCACTGGAGAGGTAAAGGCAGGCAAATCTCAATTTAAATTTCTTTTAACTAAAAGAATGGATACTAATTTAAATTTCTTTAAGAGAATGGATGGTTCTGCCATTGCTGTCCTAAGCCGTCCCCTGAGGGCCTCTAAGATACCCATTGACATGCTCTGAGGCTTGACTTACTATCTTTATACCTCCTCTGTAACCTTCCCAACTCACTCAGAGGAAATGGATATGGCCACCTGTAGTGTTCGGAGATGGAGGCATCTGGCAGTAGAGGTGGCTAAAGTAAGAGCAGAAGCTAAGCACTCACATCTTCAAGCAGGCACAGGAAGCAGAGTGTGACTGGAGGTCCAGCAAGGCTTAAGAATTCTCTAAGCCTGCCCCTAGTGACCTGCTTCCTCCAGCATGGCCACTCCTTAAGAACTCTCTTAAGACTACCCCCCCATGACAGGCTTCCTCCAGCATGACCACACTCTAAGACTTCCAAAAACAGCACCACCATGTGGGGACAAAATGTTCAAATACTTGGAGCCTATGGAGGACATTTTCATTCAAACCACCACATTCTACTCCCTGGCACCCATAAGCTCATGACCATATAAAATGGAAAATGCATTTAGTCTATCCTTAAAAGTCCCCATAGACTTTACCAGTCTTAATATTATTCAAAAGTCCATAGTCCAAAGGCTCTTCTGTGACTCCGGGAAATCTCTTTAACTGTAAGCCCCTGTGAAATCAAAAGACAAATTACATGCTCCCAACATACAGTGGAACTAAATACACATTCCTATTCCAAAAGGGAGGAATGGAGGCATAGTGAGGAAATACTGGACCAAAACAATACCAAAAACCAGTAGGGCAAACACCAAATCCAGTAGCTCTACATCCAACTTCTGGAATTTTACTTCCAAAGGGATTAGATGGCTCAGCCTCTCCAACTTTGCTCTGTTACATACATCTCTCTCTTGGGCTGGTAATACTCCCTGTATGCAGCTCTCCTTGGCAGATGTCTTATAGCTCTGGCATTACAAATGTCTTCTTGGGGTCTCTACTGCCAACCAGGCTTCATCTTCATAGCTTCATGCAGTAGCCAATCAGGCTCTCTTGGCCTTTCAGGGCCTTCTTTATACAGGGATGCCACTGTTGCACACCCCCTGGCCTCAACAGCTCTCTGAAATAACAGAAGAACTGATGACCCCTTCCCTCTTGTATTTTCATGCCTCTAAAGCCAGCACCATGTGAACAATACTGCCAAGTTTGGCTGCAATTTTCAGATGAACCCTGGCCTGCTTCATCCACCCTCAAAGCTTATCTCTGCTGTGATCTTCTAGGAGTAGAAAATACCAGCATTTTCCTTTCACAAGTTGGAGGCTTAGCTGGGTGTGGTCTTGACCTGGAGGTACTCTCTCCATTGTTTAAGTTTGAATCTCTAGGCTTTCCTTAATCACTTTAAGCTCCTTATCAAAGGGATTCTCTCCAGCACATGCCTTGGCTCCAACATTAATTATCCTAGTGCTCTTTTTCGGTCCAAAATGTACATTCCACATTTCTTTCTGCCCATTTGCTCTTTTGCATTGTAGATCTGCATAATATTCACCTTTAATAGCCACAACATTGTTTCTACGTTAGGCTGCCTGAAATAGCCTACACCAAAGAAATTAGTCCATTGCTCTAACCAGACTCATTGCCAAAATATCCCAGTTGCTGCTTAAGTCCTATTTCCCTCTGGAACTACATTGCTCTCAGCACTACCTTCTTCCAGCCTCCTACTAGAATGGCCTGTTAAGCTCTGCTTACAGTAATCAATGGCTTTTCTTGCCAAAACTTCAAAGTCTTCAACATTCCTCCAAAAACCCACATGGTCAGGTTCTTCATAGCCAGCACCCCACTTCTGGTACCAATTATTTTATTAGTCACTTTTCTGTTGCTATGATAGAAACACCATGACCAAGGAAACTTATAAAAGGAAGAGTTTATTTAGCTTACAGTTCCAAAGGGACAAGAGTCCATCATGGCAGGAAGGCATGGTAACAGAGGTAGCTGGAGTAGGAACAGAAGCTAAGCGTTCACATCTTCAAGCAGGCACAGGAAGCAGAGCATAACTTGTGATCTGGCAAGGCTTAAGAATGCTCTAAGCCCACCCCCAGTGACATGCTTCCTCTAGCATGACCACACTTTCTAAGATCTTCAAAAACAGTGCCACCAAGTGGGGACAAAAGATTCAAATATTTTGAGCTTATGGGAGACACTCTCATTCAAACCACCACACTGTGCAAGCATGAGGATCAGAGTTTGGATCCTCGGCACCCACATAAAATCCAGGCAAGTGTGATGGTCACCTATAATCCCAGCACATGGAAGACAGAGACAGTCTTCCTGGAGCAAGTTGGCTAACCAGACTATCCAGAATTGATGAGCTCTGGGCTCAGTTAGAGACCCTGTTTCAGTAGATAATATGGAGAGTAATTGAGGGAGATACCTGATGTCAACTTCAGGCCTCTGGACTTCCATATACATATACCCATGCACCTACACACATGCAAACATTCACACATATAAAGAATGAGCCTGTGGTTTCTAGTAACTCTCTCCACAAAGACAGGCAAATCTTGAAGGCAGAACAAAATGCATCATGCCTCTCTCATCATGATACAGCCCTGTGGCCCTCCGTGGGTCTATGATAAGGAGAGCCAGGGAAGGTGAGGCACCACTAGGCCAGAGTTTCTTCTGGTCTTCTGGTGGTCACTCCAAATAAGATGACAAGCAACCATACAGAGCAGAGCACACAGGGAAGGAAAAGATGTTCAGTGCACAATCTGAACTTTGATCTCACCACCTTCACCCCATTAGTGCTTAAAGTGCATGTTCAGTGCTAGACATGATGGTACCTTCCTATAATCCCAATTCTTGGGAGGCAGAGGCAGAAAGATCAGAAATTTAAGGCAAGTCTTAGCTACATAGTCAAATGCCAGCCTAGACATTATGAGACCCTGTCTCAAAACAAACTTTTTTTAATGCTTTGAAGAATTATTTTTTTAATTTGTTTTAAAATTTAATAACCACATGATTAGAAGTATTTCATTACAGCTTTAACATATTCAGTAACACACTCCAGAGCAAGGATACATCTCTTTCAAAAATGGCTATAAAATTTTAGGTTCACAGTTGAATTAATACAGTTATACAA